CACATTGAAATAGAAAAAACAAAAAATAATTATGCAAAAACACCGATATTCAACAACCGAAAGAAAAACAAAAACAGTTGGCCATGTGAAACAGCCCGTAAACAAAAATCTAAGACGCAAAGTAACTCGAAATAAGAGTAATTATTCACAGGTCAATTCCTTCTCCTCGAAGCAGTGATAGCCTTTTCGGGGGACTTGCCTGAAAAAAGCAAAATATCATTTGTAAATCTTGCATAGAAAACTGCGAAACAGAACACTTTGGGAATACACAAATGGTGATTCGATTATAAGCATTCAAACTTCAATAAATGTTTCGTAGAATCATGAAATGTTTCTTTAGCATAACGATAGGTCAAACACTCGTTCTACAGTCCATATTTCTGCCTTGCAGGGGGGGGGGGTTGTCTGCAGACATGGTAATGAGAGCGCAGTGATTGATAGCTGTCAGGTTGGCTGTGTCCATCCTCCTCAGCGATCCTCAAATCAAGCTACTGCAAATGTCACAATTCACATTATGATTGAAGTAGCAGTACCGGCGCTTTATCAAATGTGGAGCGCAATCGGAGTCGCGCGACTGAAGTATTCATGCCGCGAAGTATGAACGTGGCTTTTAGGTAGAGACGTGAACAGCGTGAGAAGAGTAGAGCGAGGAGGACATTTGAAGACGTCGATGTTTCCACTGCGCTGCTCGTGAGCCATAAACCTTTCACTGCCCCGGGTTCAGCGGACACTTCTTTTTCGCTCCTTTGCCGAAAGACGATAATGTTGTGGTAATGATATGGTGACCGTGATCACTATGATTCCCTCTAGGTAAAGAGATTAAAGATTCATATAGTGTTGAGGAAGCTGCGAGTGGTTAAAAAACCCTCCAACGCACTCTTATTTCTTCAGAAAATATTTGAAGATAGAGATGCTTAGCTCTGAGATGCAAAAAACAGTTGAAAAATACACGGACTTCACCTGCAAAATGTCGTCCATCCATAAATCCCATTTTCCGCCTCTTCACTGGAGCTTTCAGAGGAGTATTATCCACTTCTGAGACCGGATCGCCCCCGCATGGGTCAACATTCTCCTTATCCGGAACTTCTGGTGTGAGAACTGGCGGTGGTGAAAAGCCTGCTGGAGTGGGACTGAAATAAATTCGAAGTCAGTAGGTTTTACTTGGAAAAAAGGTCACTTCAAAAACTCTGAGAGCAATGGTTATCGGACGTTTATCGGTCGATCATTATGAGCCCGACTGCGCAATTGAGGCCCACCCCCGTGAATTGAGGCCCAAACTCGCTTAATATCTGGGTAACAGCTGGCAGGCCATTTCGCCTTACTTATTTCCGCCCACTCCTTCGGATGTGACATTAAAAAGTAATGTGATTATCATACCTGAGAGGTTTCTGTGAGGACTGTCTCATCTCATCTCTCGTGCTGCTCCTTCTCTCACCAAAACATCGCTGAAATTAGAATATCTCTAAATATATGATTCCATTACATTACGATACCATTACAATGATTTACCATCTGATAGTTGGTGAGCAGTAGGTTATTGAAATCCAAAAGTAAAAGAAGATATCTCACCTCATACCACTCCTCCACTTCATCTTCGAATTCCGAGCTTCTGTTGATGAGCCGCTCCGAATCGTCCTCAAGGATTTCCATGTATCACTGGTCACACAAGATAAAGAAGAACAGGCTAAGAGAACGGGAGGAGGGCAGTCGGCAGCCTACTTCCTGTTCGCCTACACCTTCCCACTGAGACGGTGAAGTGCTAAGTGCTTCTATAGTTCTGGTCTGGGATGGTCAAGACGAACAGAAAATGCGGCAGTCTAAGCCGTTGTCCCCACCCACCTCTCTTCTCTTGTCCCCAGACGAGAGTGAAATGTTGTCTACACGTAGGAGATTGTACCTGATGAATTCGCCGCATATGACTGGTCACATGGAATTTGTCATAGAATGACGCGTGAGAGCAGTGAGGACACTGGAACAACGGGCGTCGCACGTGGTACTGAAGCAGATGACGTCGGGGTCCTGAAACGAAACTGAAAGATACAAAAACAATAAATGTTCAAGTGCATTAATATTTGCGTTAATATTGTCACTAATGGATTCCCTTTACATGGACATTTTTTTTACTTTCAGGCCCTCCGGTACCTTAAAGGTAGAACCCGCAATTATTCGCCATCAAAGATGGTGGA